ACTACTACTACTACTATTGCTGCCACCAGCATCACCACTAGCCCTGACTGACTGGGAAGGGTGTTGGTACTTTGCGCGATTTGCACAGGGCTTGCCAACTACTCACTGACCACTGAACCGCCTTATAGTGTCGAAACCCGACCTCAAGCGGGAATGATGTACCTTTGTCGATTCCCGACAAAATGCGGCGAAAGGCATACACATTGGACCCTGCAGCAAAGTCGGCGGCTGTGTGTAGCAGGAAACCCTACAGTCCCAAAATTGGTGCTCGGGAACATTTGGAATTCGCGAATGAAGCGAACTGCAAACTAGTCAGGGTGCTAGCACGCGGGACCAGCGGTTGCAGAGGGGCCCCCCGGCGTCATAGACCAGGCCGTACCTTTGTCATAGTAAGAATAAAGGGGCTGGCCCATGTCTAGTCCTTATACAGACGCGCACACATAATCACACGTACATGCGAATATACATAACTACACTGTACTTATCCATTTACCTGTTCGTTCATTCATTGATCTGTTTACCTATCTATCTGCCTGTCTTGCCATCTATCTTTCTTTCTTTCCGTCTTTCTCTCCACCTCTCTTTAGAGATACGTACCAAAAACACAACTAACTTTTTACATGCATGTATACTGTACATATACATTTGTATACATACACGCATACAGTCTGTCATTAGAAAACACGGCTCAATACACACCAGAGAAGCTGCTCTGATCTTCCAAGCCCCAACCGGCAAACCGAAATTCTGAAGCCCGACAACGGGAAAAACGGGTCGCTAGCTCACCACACCATAACCCCATACCTTCACGGACGGGTTAGGGCTTAGGGGGCTCACGCTGTTTCTTGTCGTTTGGTCTCGGCTTTCGGGTTGGAGTCCCAGCTTAGGGTTGATGCTTCCGTTTGCGAGCAGTTGAATTGTCAACCTCATCGTGCCCTTTGCAAATGCGCTGTACGACACCAAGCAAAGCGACCGAAGTGCCTAAATCATGGAGTCCTTTGCATAAAGACCCTGAAAGAATACTCCACAACCTTTCACCCCGGCCCCAAACTCCAAACCCGAACTCTGAACCCTCACTTAGCATAATGGGCCTTGGTACAGCGTCTCCCCGTCGGCAATTCCCGCTGCAGCTAGAGTTTTTGCTTCGGAGATCGCTTCCTGGGGTTTGGGTTTGGGCTTCGGGTGTACTTCTTCGGGAACCTGGAACTGAAGGGGGTTTAGGGTTTAGGGTTTAGGGTTGAGGGAGTAGAGACAGATCCCATGCATCCACCAAAGCCCAAACGGTCAACCTGCCCCTCCCGAACTCTGAACCCGGAACCCGGTTGAAGGGTAGTTGTAAGCAGGCTGGTGGGTAAATCTCGGATTTCGGTACACCGTTCTCCTGATCAATGAACCTGAATCCGAAATGCAGCTGTGGCTTGTGTAGCACACTCACGCGCAGAATGACAAAGGAAAGACAAAATAAACATCACGCGACACCTAATCATGAAAACATTAGTACGAATACCGCTCAAAATCACCAACAGAACAACAAACCATGCCTATACCTATGCATGTGAATGTTTGGGTTATGTAGAAAGGCTCATTGACCCAACCGCACCAAGCACTCTGTAATGCTGCCTGGTCAAGTTCCTAACCTCTAAATCGCAAACCGAAACCTCCGAATTCCAAACTCCTAACTCCTAACCCCCTCGATTCTAAAGTCCAACTATCCTTGCAGCAAGCCCCTTTAAAGCCTACCCAAACCTGTCAGTACTTTTTATTGAAACGTATCAGAACCTGTTAACGAAACTGCCGGCCGAGGGTCTCCACTGGAAGAGACGACAGCTTTGAGCCCTCGGTGAGCTGAAAGCTGGGTAGGTTGGATGTATGGTGTCGGGTTGTTGAGGGCTTATTGTCTACTCGGCGTGCACCTTAGAAGCTGGGCTGGAAGGGTTTTAGGGGGTACTGTAGGGGCCTAAATAATTACCAACACAATTTTGGTGGTTCCTTACTATAACTCAGTTATTCAGGTCCCTGTATTCGGTCGCTTCGAGATTGCGAGTTGAGGCAAGAACTCGTGGACTGAAGGCTTGGGGGTTCGGACAGTGGGGATTTGCTTTCACGCGTAAACCCTACCCCCCCCCCCCCCC